GGGCCTCTTGGATCCGATTGGGGGCCTCTTGGGACTTCCCGAGAACCTCTCGGGGTAGAAAGCTCGGATTCTCGGTTCGTGTTTCCCTTCTTGGGCCTCTCTTGGGGCCGTCTTGGGGCCCTCTCGGGACGTCTTGGGCGCCTCAGGCGCCGCCTTGGGGCCCTCGTGGGCCGCGCAGGGCCCTCTTGGAAGCCTCTTCGGCTATCTTGGAGCTGTCTGGGAGGCCTCTTCCTCCTCCTCGTCCCCATCCTCCTCCTCCCACTGCTCCCGCCACCGTGCCCTGGGTGGTGGGTCCGAGGCCTCATGGGTGTTGGTTTGGATCTCGTGGTTGGCCTGTCGGGGACGTCGTGAAGGCAATTTCGCAGCTTCTCGGTAGCCGTTTTGGGACCGTTGTGGGGCCTCCTCGGGCTGCTTTGTGGCCTCTTTAGGCCTCGTTTGGGCCTCCTGGGTGCCTCTTGGGGGCCTCCTGGGGCCTCTTGGGGGCTCCTTGGGGCCTCCTGGGGCACTCTTCAAGCGGGAGGGTCGAATTTTGGAGTCGTGGTCCCCCTCTTGGGCGCATCTTGGGGCCGTCTTGGGGCTCTGTTGGGCTGTCTTGGGCGACTCTGGGGCCGTCTTGGAGCCCTCTTGGGCCGTCTTGGGGCGCTCTTGGAGGTCTATTGAGCCGTCTTGGAACGTCGGACAGCCGAAAAGGCTGGCAGGCCAGCGAACGTCGTGGTCATCCGACGGGACCTCTCGGGCCGCGTCGGCCGTCCGAAGGGACGCCCTGGGCTCTCCGAGAGGGCACCATCAGCCTCTCCAGATAAAGCTTGCTCGTTGTTCCAAAGGGAGCTCGCCAGTTCCTGGGCCACACGGCGGGACATCCTGGGCCTCCCGAGGATACCTCTTCGGCCCACCGAGAAGGCTTCGTTGGGGGGAGACTGCGTTCGCCTCCCCAGCCCCCGAAAGAGAAGTTCCGTCCTCTGCAGGGACCTCCATCGGCCATCTGGGAGCACCTCTGGGCGTGCGCGCAAGCACAGTGCAGCGCGCCTGGCTGAACCCCACACCCTCCTGCACTCCAGGACGACTGCAGCTGGCGGACCCTCGGGGACCCAGCGTGCAGGACGTGCATCCCGAGGGCTTGCCCCAGGGGGCCCTCGTCGGGCCCAGGAGTCGTCAATGCACGGCCCGCGATATGAAAAACTACAACTTGTTCAACGGCGATCCCCCCCCCGCCGGTCGACGACCCCCCCGAGGGTCGACGACCCCCCCGGAAGTCGACGACCCCCGAACCGAACCGCCCAAAACCAGACCGCCGCCCGACCCGAACCGGCAGAACCGACCGGACTCGCCAAACCGGACCGGCTCAAACCGAGGGCCGAAGTGATTCCCGCAGCGGGCCGAAGGGAGGCTCCTTGGGTACCCAAGCAGTATTTGCGAGGTGCCCAACACTGTAGTGTCGGAGGGCCCAAACACCGTGCCAGCCCGCGCAGCATTCTGGGTGGCGACTGCTCGAGGGGGCACGGGAGGGCGTCACTTGCAGCCTTGTCGTGTCCGATGATTATAGGATGATCGGTGATGATGATGCTGATGATGTTTATGATGAAACTGATGATTATGATGATGATGCCGATGTTGATGATCATGCTGATGCAGATGCTGATGATGATTATGGTGGTGAAGATGATGATGCTGATGGTATTGATGATGATATTGATGATGGTGCTAATGATGATGATGATGATGATGATGATGATGATGATGATGATGGTGGTGGTGGTGGTGGCGATGATGATGATGATGATGATGATGATGATGATGATGATGATGATGATGATGATGATGATGATGATGTGGAGGAATATGGTACCGGCCATGGCGGTGTTTTTGATCATGATGATGGTTGCGGTGGTGATGATGGTGAATTTTGGTGATGATGATGATGATGATGATGATGGCAGGGGTGATGATGATTATGGTGATCGCGACGACGAGGATGCGGATAAGGACGAATATGAGGATGATGATGACGATGATGCTACTGAAGATGATGATGAGGACGAGGACGAGGATGAACATGATGATGGTGATGATGATGACGATTCTGATTATGCTGATGATGCTGATGAGGATGAGGATGAGCATGATGATGATGTTGATGATGGTGATGAGGATGATAATGGTGGTGATGATGATGGTGATGGTTGTGGTGGTGGTGATGCTGCATGATGATGATGCTGCTAATGGTAATGATGCTGATGATGATGCTGATGATGTTTATTGTGATCATGATCATGATGATGTTGATGATGATGATGATGATCATCATCATCATCATCATGAAACTCGTCTGGGCCGTCTTTGGGCTGTCTGGGCCTCCCGTGAGGCAGTCTTGCGGGTCTCTTGGGGCAGTCGTGGTGCCCTCTCACGCTTGCTTGGGGTCCTTTTGGGCCGTCTTGACCGTCTTGGATGC